ATGAAAATCTTATTATTAAATGAGCAAAGTGATTTGATTTGTTCTATCGCAAGTTGTGGTCTAAAAGCAACGAGGTCACCACCCATTATATCTGCTTTAGCGGAAATACACTCCTTCAGCCCTTCTAAATAACTATGTGCTGCAGTCTAAAAGAATCTAGCTTCAAAATCTGTGTTTGGTACCATACATTTCACACACTTTCATACCACAGAGGATTCTCAGCACAGTTTTTTGATTATTATGAGCTGAACTGAAATAAAACTTGCATAAAAAGAAAAAAGGCTATATTGGTCTAAGTCTTTCTTATTATGGTGGGTTAGTAAAACACAGCAGCTGAATGCCCAAATGAGTTCAAATGAGTGCACATTAAAATAGGGCGGATATGGGTCACCCATTTTGTACTTGTATGCCACCCATAGGGGCTTGCAATTTGGGAAGAGGTGGAGACACGTTGTCCTAAAACTCTAGGTTGTAAATTGAACACTATAAGAGTTAATAAATATTAACACTGTAAAAACAACACTCACTGTACACTGAAAAGTGTTAAAGGTAACACTGAATGGTGTGGTCACATATAGACACCATGCAGTGTTAATTTAACACTGGCACATTTGCTGTGTGGTAAGTGTGGGTCACCAGCTTCAAAGGGGGGAAAAACTGCTAAAGCCAGCAGTGACAGAGTGTCAATCTTCACACCCAGCATCAAGTGACACATTCATCAATACATGTTTGCAAATAAAACATGCTGCACATTTTCCATCACATGCTTAGTGTGAATCTTTAGCTTATATTTTGAAATTTATGCAGTGACAATATTCAACACAGACAAAAGCATTTTAAACAGATAAAAGAAAATGGACCACAGAATGGATGAAAGAGGGAGTTTTTGCTTGTGTCAAATCCCCCTTCTCCGCAATGCAGACTTGGCCTGTTTAGCTCTCATGTCTTCCTGTCCATTACTCTCTGAAAAAAGACACATTCATCTGGCTGAAATACAGGGGGCGCAGTGACACAGTGAGCACCATGTTACCTCACTTCCTGTCTGCGTGTGTCATTTGTATGTTCTATCTCTCTCTATTTCCCCTAAAGACCTGCAGCTTAGCTGGGCTGCTCTCTCTACATTCCCTGCTGTGTCTGTGTGTGTCTCTGGGTCCCTGTCCATCCCCTGCCCTCTGCTCCAGGTTCCTCCTGACCCTGCACTGGATAACTGCTAATGGGGAACAGACAGTGTGTAATGTGACCCAAACCATGGCCAGTTACTACAGGGTGAGTGGATGAAACATTTCTATAGTGAAACTGGACAGTGTGAGAATCATAACAGTAAATAACACATTTATTAACAGTGTGTTAAAAAAGTGAACTTAGTTTAACCGATAATTTAATATGATTCATTTGTTTTATGATGCCAGTATTGTTTGTTTATTTATTTGTTTCATGAATAAACTCTGTAGAGCCTCTATCTTCACCTCGTCTGTCTTTCTTCCTGACACACAGCCTGTTTAAAAATACTTGGAAATAATCTCTACTGATGACATCATAGTTACTCAAATCACAATCAAAACAGCATGACTGAACATGACATATATTCCAGTCTCAATATGACTGGTTTCCCCATTCGCATTTAGTCTGAGAAAAAAGGCCACGATTCAGCTACTTACTGCAGCAGTACCATGTTCGCAGCATAGCTATAATGACGAAGCTTGAGAGGATGAGGCAGTCCACAATGTACCGATTCTGCCCCCTACTGCAAACAAGGAAGAAACTCAGTCTAACCAGAATCGGTGTGTAGCACAGAAAGTCTCCTGACACAACACAATACTGCGAAACAGGTAGTCATGTTACCAGTAACTATAGGCAACGTCAATGCAAATAATAATGAGAAGTGTATAACTAAATATTATGAAATAAAACACTACATTATTTGTAAGAAACAATATTACATTCATATATATAATATACACTGCTCAAAAAAATTAAAGGAACACTTTGGAAACATATCAGATCTCAATGGGAAAAAGTCATGCTAGATATCTATACTGATATGGACTGGGTAATGTGTTAGGAACAAAGAGATGCCACATCGTTTGATGGAAATGAAAATTATCAACCTACAGAGGGCTGAATTAAAAGACACCCCAAAAATCTAAGTGAAAAAATGATGCAGCAGGCTAGTCCTTTTTGCTGAAAATTAATTGCAGCAACTCAAAATCGTACTCAGTAGTTTGTATGGCCCCCGCGTGCTTGTATGCATGCCTGATAATGTCAGGGCATCCTCCTAATGAGATGATGGATGGTGTCCTGGGGGATCTCCTCCCAAATCTGGACCAGGGCATCACTGAGCTCCTGGACAGTCTGAGGTGCAACCTGGTGGCGTCGGATGGACCGAAACATAATGTCCCATAATGTGTTCTATAGGATTTAGGTCATGCAAACGTGGGGGCCTGTCAATGGTATCAATTCCTTCATGCTTCAGGAACTGCCTGCATACTCTCGCCACATAAGGCTGGGCATTGTCGTGCACCAGGAGGAACCCAGGACCTACTGCACCAGCATAGGGTCTGACAATGGGTCCAAGGATTTCATCCCGATATCTAATGGCAGTCAAGGTGCTATTGTCTAGCCTGTAGGGGTCTGTGTGTCCCTCCATCACTGACCCCCCACCAAACCGGTCATGCTGAACAATGTTACAGGCAGCAGAATGTTCTCTGCAGCTTCTCCAGACCTTTTCACTTCTGTCACATGTGCTCAGGGTGAAGCTGCTGTCATCTGTGAAAGGCACAGGGTGCCAGTGACGGACCTGCCAATTCTGGTATTCTATGGCAAATGCCAATCGAGCTCCACGGTGCTGGGCAGTGAGCACAGGGCCCACTAGAGGATGTCGGGCCCTCAGGTCACCCTCATGAAGTCTGTTTCTGATTGTTTGGTCAGAGACATGCACACCAGTGGCGTGCTGGAGGTCATTCTGTAGGGCTCTGGCAGTGCTCTTCCTGTTCCTCCTTGCACAAAGGAGCAGATACCAATCCTGCCGATGGGTTAAGGACCTTCTATGGCCCTGTCCAGCTCTCCTAGAGTAACTGCCTGTCTCATGGAATCTCCTCCATGCCCTTGAGACTGTGCTGGGAGACACAGCAAAACTTCTGGCAATGGCATATCAATATGCGCCATCCTGGAGGAGTTGGACTGCCTGTGCAACCTCTGTAGGGTCCAGATATCACCTCATGCTACCAGTAGTGACACTGACCATAGCCAAATGCAATACTAGTGAAAAAACAGTCAGAAGAGATTAGGAGGGAAAAATGTCAGTGGCTCCCACCTGTTAAACCAGTCCTGTTTTGGGTGTCGTCTCATTGTTGCCCCTCTAGTGCACCTGTTGTTAATTTCATTAACACCAAAGCAGCTGAAACTGATTAACAACCCCATCTGCTACTTAACTGACCAGATGAATATCCAAGAAGTTGAGTTTACTTGATGCAATACTCTGATTAATAAGCGTTCCTTTAATTTTTTTGAGCAGTGTATAATGATTCCTTGGTTAATGGGAAGGTCTAAAACATCTAAATTTAGATTTTTCCTGTTTCCCACTAACAAGAACAGACAAACAAGTGATTTAGTTGAGTGATATAACTAACCAGCAAACACTGAAATGTAAGATTATTCCAGTGCATCTGATTTACAGATATAACATATGCAGGGGTGTAGCTAGGAATTCTGGGCCCCTGACAGCACCTTCAACAATGATCACCTTGGGGGGGAAAGGGGTCCCACGTGAGATTTTACTGAGTAGGGCAGTGGGCACACTTCAGCATTTGGGGCTGCTATAAATTAGATCCAGGAATCCGGATGTATGTCCTACCTTTCATGGGACCTTGTCAAGTTCTTTTCAGATGACTTTAATGTCAAAGGAGTAGGAGAAGGGACAGCATTTCTCAGTGCTGTACGATGGTTCCATTCTGTCTGTGGTGTAGACGGGACATGAATTTCTGTCAAGGATCATAAGAAACACCACTGAATTAGTTCAACGTCAATGAAGACTGAGAATCTGGCACCAGCAACGTATGCAAATACATAAATAGATGCACAGTGCAGGGATGTATGTTAAACAGCCAGCGCCTGATTCACTACAGTCTGCTTTTGAGCCAGACCTCAACTCCCACTTACATTAATATTCAGTTAAGTAAGTATCCAGTCTTATCTCTAGATGAACAACATCCTATCTATATAGTAGTTTGCCTATGTATAATGGAAGCTCAAATCAAAAGAAATGCATTTCATTTAGACCAGGGGTGTCAAACTCCAGTCCTGGGGGGCCGGAGCCCTGCACATTTTTGGGTTACCCTCATGTAACACACCTGATTCAACTCCTTGTGCTAATTACCACACAGCTCTTGAGCTGAATCCTTTGTGGTAAAGCAGATATAATGGTTGGTGGCCTTATTGCTTTTAGACCACAACTTGGGATAGAAGAACAAATCAAATTACTTTGCTCATTTAATATTCAGAGTTTCATTTAGAAACCCACCATCTAAATGATTCAGCTCAAGAGCTGTGTGGTAATTAGCACAGAGTTAAATCAGGTGTGTTAAATGAGGGGAAACCCAAAAATGTGCAGGGCTCCGGCCCCCCAGGACTGGAGTTTGACACCCCTGATTTAGACCTATAATCATTTTGATATCTGTCTTTGAGTGACAGCATTAAACTCTGGTTCTGATTGGTTGATGCTGTATGGAAAAACACTCTGACTTTATCAGTGTGACAGACAGAAGCACAAGGTCACTATGGACTCATTTAGTGTGAATCACAGCCCAGGAACAGCTCTCTCCCTCTGTGTGTCTCAGGGTCAAACAGAAGCACCTTCAGGAACCGACATCTTACCTTCCCGGACTATCAGGGGCATAACGGCACGATCGCTTTGTGCTGCAGACGCCTCCACAGCACACCAGTAATAGTCAAAGTCCTCCTCCTGCAGGTCCCTTATGGTCACATTAAACACCATTTGGTCACGGTCATCAGAGACTGACACTGTCCCTCTACTCTGTTCCCCATCTGACTGTGCTATTCTGGAGCAGGAATCCCATTCATATCCTCTACACAAGTATTTGGTTTTATCTTTATCATTTTGGTCATAGTAACATGGGATGGTGACAGATCCTCCTCTTGGTGCAGAAACCCAGCTCTCAGTCCTCACACTCTGAGCATCTATGGGGAGAGAACATGAATGACGGAGCATCAGAAACATATAATAATGCAGAATGAACATGCAGGTAACTTATGACTGTAGAATCAGGGAGGAACAGCCAAGTGAGATGGAATGTCGTGGTCAATAAAGGGTTAACAGGCCTGAATTTTATGCAGGAACTGGGGTCTGTTTAACACAGAGACAAGGAATGTCGAGGGTGTAGATCTTAGCACCAATGAACTGAAGCTGGGGTGAAATTACAATGACAATAAGACAGAGATTATATTAGCTTACTTGGAGTAACCAGGAAGAGCAGACTGTCAGACGTTTCCTTAGTTCTTCCTTCACCCACAAAACACCAATAATTTCCAGAATCCAGCTGCTGCAGGTTCTTCATGGTAACTAGGAAGACTAAGTTATCGGGATCATCAGTGATGGTCCCCTTGGTTTGTGTCGCTTTAGTAGCTGATGTGCAGGTGGGGCGATTTCCTGATTTACACCAGGATTTCACACGGTTTTTATGCTCTTGACCATAGAAACACGGGATGGTGATGGATCCTCCCGTTTGTCCTCTTAAATATCTGAATGTCTTCAGGGTGGAACTTCTTTTTTCAGCTTTTAGAAAAACAAACAGTCAGTCATAGAATTATCACTGGAAAAGTATATGAATCATCAACCTTCCATCTGCTTATCATATTGTTATGCCCTTATCATATTGTTTAGGCAGCCGGAGCGGGACCCGCCTTCAGGAGGTAACCCCGCTCACGGAAGCGCACATAATGGCGGAAGTGCACGAAAACCTCCAGCAGCTCATGGAAAGGGTACCAGAGAAGCGGTTCCAGCTGCTCACCCTCTCCGAGGCAACCTCGCCTCAACCGATCTGCCCCAGCCGGAGAAAGAAGAAGAGGAGAAGGGAACAGAAAGCGGCAGTACAACCGACGATCGTCCTGGGAGCCGCCTCTCTCTCTCTTGCTCCTCTCCCTGCCAATGACTGGGGGCAATCCCCGAGCGCACTGGAAATCACCGCCGCAACGCCACCCTCAGGTACGCAAAGCCCGCATTACGGCCACAGAGCTGCCACCGCTGGCAGCCTACCATTACCGGGTGGCGTGCCTATCCAATAGGGGGGCTACGGCCGTCTGGGACGCAATTCCCAGGACCCCCAAGGCCCTTAAAGGGGCAACGCCAGCTCGTTCGGCCCAACCCTGGCGGCTATAATGGACCCACCTGTCTTGCCAGCGCCTGATCTGCCTGTCCCGCCTGTCTTGCCGGCGCCTGACGCTCTTGTCCTGCCTGTCCTGCTGGCACCTCCTGCAGCACCCGCAGCCACGCCAGCTGTCCCGGCGCCGCCCGCAGCAACACCCGATGCGGCTTCCGCTTCGCCCTCGCCGGCTGTCCCTCTACGGCTCCGCCCACGCCTGAGGTCCCAGCGCCGCCAGTTGCTCAGGCCACGGCTCCATCTGCCCCTGTGACTCTTGCATGAGTGACTCCTGCCCTCTTGCCTGTAACCCCTGTCCATGTCCCCGAGGAGGTCCCGGACCTCCTGACCACCACCCCATTCTCCTTGGAGGAGGAACTTGAGTGGGACCCCTCAGGGACCCCCTTGTTGTCTCCTAGGCCCTCGCCCCAGCGAGGGCGATCCCCTCATGAGCCCCACCTTTGAGTAACCAGAAAAGGGAGAGGTCACAGATGCAGGGCCAGGTTCCTGCCCGCCCTGCCCCCTGGCTTGCCCTCACTTGCCTTGGCTGGGGCTCGGGGGGCGCCTGTGGATCCTGGGGCTCCAGGTCGGTGGTCGCCTGCGGGTTCCCCTCCAATGCCTCATTGCCTGGCCTCGGTCCCGCCTCCGACTCTTCGTCGGTTGCCTGCGGGTCCCCCTGCTCCGGCGCGTCAATGGACGGCGCCGTTGCCAGCTATGGCTGCACTGTGACTTGCTGCAGCTTCCCCCCCCTCCTTGCCTTTGCTGGTGCTCCCTCCGACTCCCTCCTCGTCCCCTTCGTCTGTCCCTCAGCTTGTCTCCTTGCCCCCTTCGTGGTCCCCTCCTGCTCCTGCCTCCCTATCGCCTGC